CAAACCCTGTAAAGAAAATTTGACAAAACTTATATTAAACAAAAATTATTAGAATAAACCTTCATAGACAATCCAGCTTGCAACAATTCAATTTAAGTCACAAGATTCTCATCATTGTCAATATCAGCTTGCAATTTAAGCCAAGTCACAAGATGGAACTCAATGTCAACGAGCTTGCAACAATTCAATTTAACCCCTAACCCCTAACCCTAACCCTAACAACAGGGGAAAAGACTTCACTGACCCTGATAACAGGGAAAAGACTTCACTGAGCAAGAGAGGCACTGTGAGGTACATCAGAGCTCAATGGTGGTCAAGCATGATAAGCAGGCATCTTATTTACATGGAGTCCTCCTGATAACAGGAGAAAAGACGTCCTCCTGATAACAGGGGAAAAGACTTCACCGAGCAAGAGAGTGTTTGTTCCAACTTTAAAAGATTTTAACAAATGACATTAGTCAGCCCTTCGATAAATCTATCATCACTGTCAATGAGATGAGCTTGCAACAATTCAATTTTAATCAAGTCACAGGATTGAAATAACCAAACCCTAACCCTAACCCGACCCCAACCTCGACCCTCACCCGACCCCGACCCCAACCTCGACCCTCACCCGACCCCGACCCCAACCCTAAAGGCAGTGAGGCACATCAGAGCTCAATGGTGGTTAAGCATGATAAGCAGGCTTCTTATTTACATGGACTCCCCCTGATAATAGGGAAAAAGACTTTACTGAGCAAGAGTGCTTGTTCCAACTTTAGAATATTTCCGCAAATGACATTAGTCAGCCCTTGGATAGGATTCGCAAGAATTCTCATTGGACTGAGCATTTGGCGTTGTAGGAAGCCAATTCCAAAATTAACAGTTTAGACTGTAGCAGCAAGTTTTTATTTGTTTGTTTACTGTACACAAACTCAATTGGACTAAAACAGGTGGTAACACCAACTTTTCTTGTGAAAAACATAACAAACAAAACATATGACTTCGAATTTAAGATGATGAAAAACAGGCAGCTATTTGACCACGTCTTGAAGATCAGCACCCCATAGAAATTAATCATGATCACTCGTCTGGTATTGAAAACCTCTGAGTAAAGCTAAACTAATAAGTAATAACATATTTTGGAAATCTATTGGGATTTAGCATCCACAACTGATCAAATACACATACATATAAGATTTGAAGCTGGAAGATTCATTAACATAATGCAGTGCAATTAGTGACGAAGTTGACTTCTATGCCGGACCGTCTCCACGAAGGAAGTCAATGAGATAGTGGTAACGCATCACACATGAAAAGAAAAAGCACATTAATGATTAAAAAAATTATGCTACTGCATAGTTGCAGAATTCTCACGCTGCAGTTAGAAGACACATGGCTTACTGTAAAAACCAAAAAGATGGAAAAAATACAAAATCAAATCTTGCATGAAGCTTTGATTAACCTACTAGTTCCAATAGTAAATGCATGTAAAGATACGTGACAACCAGGTCATCTGAAGCAGCTACGCTAAGGAAAAGACTACCATTTAAAACTACTCTGTAACGCCTATAACTGCTAATTTGATAGTCATAAAATATAGAGAATAAAAAGAGTAAAAATCGCTGAACCTTTATATGAGATTTCATCATCATTGACCAAAGGAAGCATCGGCAAATATGGAGGACGTCTTCCCAAATGAGATGATGCTTTTGCTAAAGGGTCTGTCACCCGCTCCTGAGAAAGAAAGTACAAAATATTAGAGCCTGTAAGATGCACTTTCATAGAACATGGAGCGGACCATATCAGATCAGTGTTTACTCAATTACGCTTGATAGCAAAGTGCAAGTTAGAGCAGAAAGGTAGCAAGGAAGTGGATGGACAAATACGGAGGGTTTCCATGTGTATCTTTCCCTCTTCTCCATCGTACTCAATCCAAGTTATACAAAGCTAATGCTCCCTCCCTTCATTCCCTTCTTTAAATCGTATTCTATTTTGCAATCGAAAGAGCTAAGAAAAACAGCTAGATAGAAAAGTATGAAATGATTCATATTTTTGCAAAAGACTGTTTGTCTACCTTGACAGAATGTGGAAGAGCTGAGTTTGTGACTCTTCACCATATCTATATATCTATCTATCTATCTATCTATCTATATATATATATATATATATATATATATATATATATATATATATATATATATATATATATATATATATATATATATATATATATATATATATAGAGAGAGGAGAAGAGAGAGAGCAATAACTTGGTGTCCAACTTAAAAGTTGATAGCAAAAAAGTTGTCCAGGTCACACTTACATGCCTAGGGATCCTTGCATGATAATGAAAAATGTTTTTTAATATTAATAAATGAGGTGGCTAAGGAAGGTTTGGTGGAGCATGCAAACTTAATTTAGTTGATAGTGAGTCTCTCTCTGCTCTCCTCTCTGCTGCTCTCGTCTCTATAATATATATATATATATTTATATTATATATATATATAATATATATATATATATATATATATTAGAGAGAGAGAGAGAGCGAAGAGAGGAAACTGGCACAGCTTCTCAAATCCTATGTTAATTTGCAGCAGATACATATATATATGTATGTGTGTGTGTATAGCTTCTCAAATCCTATGTTATTTTGCAGCAGATATAAACAAGAGAAGTTGTGAAAATTCATTAAAACATCCTTAATTAAAATAAGGGAAAAATGCTTCCAACCCCTAAGCATTTCAACTATGTGCTCTCCGAAGTTGATTAGTCAAAACCGAAAGTGCAACATAGTAATAATTAGTCATGAGAGTAGAATATTCGTTGAGGTTGCATTAGATAGCTGACTGCCAACATAAATCTTTGTTGGATCTACAAAATATGAATTCTAAAGATTGTTCTCCTAATTAAGCCAGTGCTGTGCTTTAATGTTTATGTTTTTAATTGTCGGTCGCAAGGCAGGATAAAGGAGAATGGTTGCTTAAGGCAGCCAACAGTCAGCGTAAAACTTAGCCGCACCTACATGATATAAATCCTATAGAATATTTGCTGAGACATACCCACCGCGATTTGTTGCATCAATGTCAACGCCAAAGATTTGGGATGAAGGCTATTGTCATTGTTATTGTAGAGCAAAAAGTAACATGATAGCTTGCTCCAGTACAAGTATACTCATAGGATCATCATGACCTACAGTCTCCGGAACGCAGACTAAAAGGTCAGCTAGTACTTTGTGGGCTTCCACTGCTGCAGGCTCCCGAAGCCTCGCTGCAGCATTACCCAGTGACCAATCATCGAGCACACTAGATTGTAAACTACTTGCATAAACCTTGTAGCTAAATTTTGGCGGATCTAATTTGTATTATTTGCATTGCTTGTTGGATTATGAACTACTTGCATAATCCTCGATCATGTTTAGAAACATACTTGCATTTGTATTGTTTGTTTGTGTGTTTGCATTTCTTCATATCCTTGTAGGACCCTAACAGACTTGCATCATGTTGCTTTACTATTGCAGTAATACATAATAAAAAGCTTTCATACAGGCAAGATCTAAAACGCCCAAGCGACCATATGGTCCTAATCTCGGACATGCTTCAAACTGGGGAATTTCCCAGCAGCATCTGCTTAAAAATTTCTCCCTTGAAATCTAGTTCCATGATTGCAGGAAAAAAGAACTTTGAGGGGACATAATCAGTTATTCACCCGTTTATCTTTGCTTTTCCTGGGATTAGTATCCTCTTCTTTCCTCCTCTTTGTGCTTTCCTTTTCCTGTAAAAAAATATTGGAGAAATTGAGTTAGTTTGAGAAATAAACTCAGTCTTATGGAGCATTCAAAAGTTTTCACGAAAAAAATAACCCATTGCATGTGTGGTTATTACAATCAGTGCATGAATTTGGAAAATTAGTAGGTGACAATTCCACAAGCGTCTTTCTTTTTTGATACATCATCTAAACCTCGTCATATCAAAATGGCACTGGGTACTGCATCAGAAGCTTCTTATTTTTCCAATTCTAGAAGGTAAATGTGTCAGCCGCCCCGTGCCCGCAAGCCCGTTGGCGCAATGTAAGCCATGAGACCCACTGAGGTAACATGTCATTTGGCTCAATCCACTGCCAAAATTAACTAGTCAATGTTACACTAGAGTCCATTGACTTATCTATTTAAACCCACTAAATTCTTTGTGAACTTCTTATGTGGGACTATCTTTTGGAGACATTACAATCATCTCACCTTAATTACGCGACGAGAACATCGCGGAATGACAATCGGCCCGTCACAAAATCACCACTAGACGATGTGGATTCTAGAGGTGGCTCCTATGGGCTCTAGAGGTGGCTTCACCGCACTAACACAATGTAGGAGTACTGAAATCAGTCCCACATCAGGAAGTAATTAAAGAATTGAAGACTTCATAAGGTAAGTCCTAGGAGACAAGTGCAACTAGTGTTAGCACTTTTGGTCGTGGATCGAGCCATACAATGCGTTGCACTCAGTGAGTCCCACGACTTACACCACGCCAACAAGCTCGCAAGCTCGGGGCGTGACAAAAAGAGAGTAACACATAGATTTCATGAGCATCCATGACATTAATAAGAGGACTGCTACAATGCCAACTAGGAAAATTTTTAAAAACAGGGAGCAAACCACAGTATGGTACATTCATACACGAGTAAATAAAGTGAGCTTTCAGTCGTCTTTGATGCCAAAACTACTAATAGAAGGAGCCAAGGAAACCTATAGCCATAAAAAATATTAATTTTCAGCTTGCCATATAATTTTCACTTTCAGTTGTCTTCAGCTCTATACACCACTAATCTATCACTCAGTGGGTATCTAATATATGATACTACATCATCACCTCTGTCTTCCATCCAGCAATATGTCATCCAGTCTATCTCCTAGCTACTAGAATTAAGTAACCGAGTATAGTTCAAAGATTCACAGATTATAAAAACTCAAACATGACAATGCTAAAAAATAACATTAAAAAGTAATCTACCAAAATTACTATGCAGTTAACTGAGAACTTAGGATTACATACAAGTCATTAAGAGTATTGTTAAAATAACCCAGCTTGTATGAAGGGCACGTGACTCGGCCGGCGATGTAACTGTAGAGAGTGAACTCATCTCTCATAGCTACATTCACGCCTCTAGACCAGCAGAAAAATATAATCTTTATGAATTATATCAGTGATAGAAACCAGAAATTTCTAAAATCTCCTTTATTTAGATAAAACCAAGAAATTAATCAACACCGATAACTCTCTAAGCGGCCCAACAATCCACTATATTTATTAAAACCAAATATAATGTCTATTCATCAAATAATGAACTCTCTCCAAGTAAAATATACCAAAGTCCCAAAGTATAATGATCAAAACCCGCACCAACAACACCAAGTCAACTAATACCAAACTTACCGCACAGAATATCATTATCTGAATTAAACCTGTAATCTGCACCTTCAACTGATCCCTTTACAAAATCTGATCCATTTATGTAACAAGCCACCACCGGAAAGCTGGAGGACAAATTCTAGGATTGTCAGAGCAATCCAACAAGTGTCCCAAAGAAAAACATATCGAACAAAGAAAGGTACGCAAACAATATGCAGGAACTAACAGTAAAAAAGAAGTATTAAGAGATATACTAACAAGCATGAGAAATCATGAGCTGGCGCGATAAAGAAGATAGGAGGCTGTAAAATATGCAAAAGAAGTAGATGCTAGCTTCAAGGTGCGAGACAAGAAGTAAAACTAAGTTATTAATAGTAATCGACCCTAATGCAACCAGGACCATAATATGGAAAGGGAAAGGTACATTTATCTTACATACAAACCCCTTGAAGGAGAAATAACACAAGCATAAGTGTCCAAAAAAAAGGTAAGTTCACACACAATTAAGTACAAAAATTAATAATATCTATCAACAATCAAATTATTATCTTTCAGGATGTTATTTGAATTAGAGGTGAATATCTCCATGCATATAAGTTGGTCTTCCCGTAACACGTCTCGGGAACACGGCTTCAAGTCAAGTATTGACCCTTGACCTTATAACTTAGAATATCATGTATGCGCATAAAATCTCTTATATACACTTTGTATTAACCATCCAATTCCCCTTCATTAAACCCATATATATCAGTTTATAAGTTATTGTGCATGAAATGTTACGCACTAACCACGAAATTACCGTGGAACGACTTCTATAAAAATATAAAAAAAAACATGATCCAGAACATGTCTTATCAAGATAGATAAATCATCCAGTCGATGCTATATTAATAGTAATAACCAAGGAAAACCTCACATCGGGATATCGATATCGAGGTCATAACCATGCTAGGAAAGCACGCTTATAAATCATAATTTTAACGGCAGTCGTCTTCATGCACAATCTCTCCTATTTGGATGACAACTAGGTAATTAAGCAACAATTTTCCATTCAGTCATGCATGTCAAACACAATACACACCCACTAGGAAATACTTAAGAGCATTAGGGTTGATTCCTCAACAATGTTTTAAATATAGGCCGATTTCATCGATTTATCCCCGATATATAGGGTTTGGGCTATGGCCGATACGATTTTTGCAAAAATATATTGCATATAGTTTTGGGCTGATTTTTTTCGAAATGTCGGTGTAAATCTGATAAAGCGGCCAATTTTTCATGGGCAATCACCCGATTTTCTACAATTTACATTCTAAGTGAACTCGTTCGCGTTTGGAGACAAAAAAAACCCTCTTTTTCCATATTCCACCCGCATACGCTAAACAAAAACAATACTATCCTATTCTATTTTACTTCGACTAAACTAAAACAATTGGTAAGTGATCCTATACATGTGTTATTTACATATTAGTATGCTTATGTTTCATTAAATGTGCTTAGATTACTCTTTAAGATATTACATTATATAAGCTCACCATCTGATATAACACTCCAATTTTTACTACTTATCCCCGATATATCCCGATAACTAGGATCCGATATGAATTTTGGCCATCCAATATATTTCCGATAACCGATATTTAAAACATTGTTCCTCAATCATTAGTAACAAAACCAAACATGCCTCATGTAAATAGTCAATGCAGAAAAAGGGATAAGTCATAAGGGAAAAGAGAAATAAGGGGAAAACGGGATGCCCAAGTTCTACTTTGGTCATCCATAGTCATTATATATATATAAACCAGGTTGTAATCAAATCATGACATTTCAGGTGATTTCCACTATCAATACTAAATAAGTCTTGCCTACTTAGGTACTTGACTCCCTATGACACAATATCCCGTAAAACATGACCTCTCTAAACATGAGTTCATAACAAATACACATCGATAATTCATGTATCATATGGTCAATGTCACCAGGTTATGCTTCTGATCCATATCTTAACAAGACACCTATTCACGCACAGCCCACCTAGTAGATGTGACTACTTGATCAAATAGGAGGTTGTATAATTCGTCAAACACAATACGATATCTAATAGCATACTATATCAGTCACACAGTGAACATTTATATCCGCAACCTATGTCGATCACTCTACCTAAAAAGGGATCTGGGTGAGCTTGGTTGTGTTCAGATACTCAAACCAACATGGCTTAGCCATATTTCATGCATAATGAATGGGTAACTGAAACATGCATAATATTAAGATTTGATGTTTAACTAAACTATAATATAACTAGCTTAACCAAGTAATTGAAATGCATGCTTCTTTGGAATATGACGACTAATGTGTATGTGTGACACATCGGCAACTACTAGCTGACAAAAACTGACATAGTGCCAAGTTAAAACTCGGATTAGATTGAAGTTAATATTTGTGCTAGGTGTAAAATATAATAAATCAAAGTCTTAAGGTTGCTAAAAGGAACTCGTCTACATACAGCCACTAAACCTCCAATTTATAGTGAATGCCACTCCCAATTTACAGTGAATGCCACTGACTAGAGCCATTAAGAGATGCTGGGTTAAATAAAAATATACTTCTCGTCAACAAAAAGAAATGGTTAGTTTTCATGTTTTTCTTTTAAGGGGATTTTGAAATTTCACAATGACAGATTCCTTGTAATATAAAAAAGAAACTTTGTTTTTGAAATAAAAATTTAAACTTATATTTGTTCTTACCAACCGGTTAAATTATAGATTTTAAGAGTTGATAAGATATCCATGAATCATCCCTTTTCTTTAGAGAAACTATTTAGGCATAACAAAAATAAATAAATTCTCTAAAAGAAAAGTTTATTATAATTATTTTAGAAGAAGTTTATTATACTTTTAATACTTAAAACTTACAGATTACGTAAAACATAGTTTTAGAACATTATATTTAAATTTGGAGAAAAGTACGACAATACATCATATAATCTATGAACTAAAAATACAAACAAGAAAAATACAGGAAAACCATATAGCTTGACTATCAAACTAAACAATATGAATATCACATAAAATGATAGTTCACATCAATAACTCAGTAGCCATGATATTCATGAACTACATATTAACACTTCACATATGATAATGGATCACAATACATACCACTCTGATACGTAATTAACTTAGCAACCACCTGCCAAATCAATTTATTCACATATTCAAAATTTGACAAGTGATCTAACTGGTTTACAAACAAGAGCTTGACATGATTGCTATTAATGTAACAATTTATCAAAGTCGAAAATACATGAGAATCCTACAGAACATTGTAAATAATTAAATCTACAAACTGAATTCAAATAGTGCATGATCAACTAGATACTAGATATCATGTGTAATGTTAGCTAGCATTCTACATGACTGACTAGAGTATGAGAAGGAAAAAAATCCTACAAAAGCAATTCCTAACAATAAAATCAAGTAGATGAACTATGAGCATTATCTTAGACAACCCGTCACACATGATGGGAATGAAGAGTTCAAAAAGAATTTGAAAGATGCATGCTAGCTAGTCCTGAATCGATGAAAAACGAATGGGAACAATAATGAAGACTAGCAAAGAAGGGATTAATTGAAGAAGAAATAATAGGACTAACTTCTGCTAGATAAAATCAAGTGAGGAAATTAACATTTGCCTGCATATATGATCCAAAAGATAACAATTTCTAAAGACAGATTGAACGGATTCCCCCTTCCTTCTCTCTCTTCTTGTCTAACCAGAGGACTTCATTCCTCTTTTTTTTCTTTTTCTTTTTCTTTTTTCCCCTCTCGTGAGAACGAATGGTTGGCAGGGAGAAAGAGAATTGAGGAGATATTTTAGAGAGAGAGTGTGTGAGGAAGATATTTGTTAGGATCCTCCTGATTTTTCGTTAGTGGGTTTGTTAGGATCCTTTGATTCTAGGATAGTGGATTTAGAGGAATTTTTCAAATAATAAGGGACCCTTAAGAATTTGATAAAAAGAAAATATGTGTCTCTAAGGGAGGGTTATTCATTGGGACATTTGGGGGGATAATGAGATAATTTTGGGGATTCTATTTCATAGTGTTATTCATTGGGACAATGGAACAATGATATTACTTTTTTGTGTTATTGGATTTTTGGAACACTAGTGAGACAATTTCACCACTTGGGATAAAATTAACCCACACATATATAAAAGTTTTGTCCCAATAGTAAAAATTTACCACATCCTCCATATTGGAACAATTTTGTTCCACTTTGAAGGCAATTGGAATAATTTTCAAACCTTTTTGTATTACTTAACTAATACATGCTAATTATATTATAAATATATGACATGATATATAAAAGGGGATAATGAGATAATTTTGGGGATTCTATTTCATAGTGTTATTCATTGGGACAATGGAACAAGGATATTACCATTTTGTGTTATTGATTTTTTGGAACACTAATGAGACGATTTCACCACTTGGGATAAAATTACCCCACACATATACAAAAATTGTCCCAATAGTTAAAATTTACCCTATCCTCCATATTGGAACAATTTTGTTCCACTTTGAAGGCAATTGGGACAATTTTCAAATTTTTTTGTATTACTTAACTAATACATGCTAATTATATTATAAATATATGACATGATATAAAATATAAAGTACTAATATATTCAATATATCATATTATAGTATCATGTAATAAAATAAAATATTATTATAGTTTAATTTATATGTATAATTTATTTTATGATATTTACTATATATTATTATGCAATATCACATACTATATTATATAATAGTACAACATATTTATTATAATATTATATAATATTTTAATAACATATATTATTATAACATATATTATATTAATTGTAGATATTTTATTGTAGCAATTATATTATAGTGCATTATATTAAACCAATATAATAATATAGTATAATATAATATAACATAGTAAAATTAATAAATATGTTAGTATATTACATTTAATTATAAATATAATATAATATAAACCATGTTATGTGTTATATTATATTATATTATATAAATATAATAAATTTATTATTGTACTATAATATAATACATTTTAGATATTTTTTATATATCATAGTACTTTATCATATAATATTATACTATATTTTAATTAGCAATATAGTATTTTAAATAATATTATATTGAATAAAAAATATTATACTATTTTATGCCGTAAATTTTTAAGCCTATGACTCTGTTCAATTATATTAAATTAGATATTATATTAAATACATTGTTTATATATTGATATCAATTATTATATATATGACATACTATTATAATCTAATATAATAATTACTAATATTAATAATATTATGATATAATATAATATAATATTAATAAAATATTATGATTATATAAAATATAAATACTATAGTTTGAAATAATATTATATATTATACTATAACATGATGGCCTTTTAATATATATTTTGTAATTATCATGTTATATATATATATATATATATATATATATATATAATAATTTTAATTATAAATATAATATTTTAAAAAATATTACATTGAATAAAGTAAAATATTATAATATTGTATACAGTACATTATATTCTATGATACTTATATTATATATATTTATATTAAATAAAATATTATTAAAGTATTATATTAAATATATTGTTCATATATTTATATCAATTATTATATAAGAATGGTAGCATCCTAATATAATGTAATATATATAATATAATTAATAATATTTATTAGTAATTATAAGTATACTATTATATTTTGTAAATAAATAAAGTAATGTATTATATATAATATTATATTATTAAAATATTATATTAAATATATTGATCTTATATTATATTAATTATTATATAGTATAGCATGCTAATATAATATAATATAATATAATATAATAATTAATAATATTAATTAGTAATTATAGTACAACATATTATATTTTAATTCAAAGTAAAATACTGTTTATATTATAATAATATACTAAACCAATTGGATAAGTTAATTTAGAAGTAACTAATAGATTAAATTATATTTTAATAAGGTGTCACATCATTAAGTATCCCACATGAATTGTCAAATCAAAGGCTCAAATTGTCCCACTATCCCACTTATTCCACTTTACTCCCTCAAAATATCCCAAAGGGATAAAATTATTCCATCAGAACAATTTTCCCACTTTGCCCCAATTTGTCCCAAACAATAACCCCTCATAAATGTGAGGAAACTTAAGTTCAAATTCAAAAATGTACGAGCAAGCTGATTCAAGGGATTGAGATGAATACATGAAAGGTACTCTCAACAGTGGTTGTTACAATTGGAAACAAGCACAAAGCCAACAATTTTCAGGTTGAATCTACTGAAAACTACAATCCATGTTTGAACTGAGTAGACCTTGTGATATTCAACCTATTCCATACATAAGTAGATCTCAGCCAATTCCAGCATAAGGTAGATAGTTATCATCATCAGTCAAGCAAACTTAAGGGACAGCATGCAATCACTTAGGAAAATCCAGTTCATGATGTGCCATTGCATCAACTAGTCTAGAAGTGAATTCACTTATTTTAGGTTGAGCTTGTATCTATGAGGGACCAATGAATAATTAATCTAATTGTCAACTGAACAAATTCTTAGAGCATAGATAGATTATGGAACTAAGAGACAATTTGGATATTTGTAAGAGAACCACAATGGAAAGTTTTTCAAGAGACAATGAAGAAAAGGTTGTTCAGGTTGGACATGGTAGTGATGGGTAAAATCTTCAAATACGAGCAAAGAAGTGTCTCCACTTCCTCAGTTTTTTTTTCCAGTCTACTTGAAGATTTGAAATAAGAAAGTGGGACGAAGAGCAGTTTGGCAATGGTTTAGAGCTCAACGTACCCGATGCTATATGTGTAATTGTGTGAGGTATTACGGAGTGTAGGATATGGAGGAGATGCTAATATTACGACATGTTTATTGATATTATATGAATTAGATTTCATAAGAAATTCACTCAATTAAGGTGAGAAATATTTGAAGTCATCGAAAATATGAAAAGGGCGTGGATTAATAGGGAAGTGTGAAAAGGGATTAGATAGGTTAGTGTACATGACATTGACTATAGACTAAGCTGGGGCAACTAAAGATGTTCGTACAACCAGCCAAAATACATCCATCAAGTTTAATCTGGTCTTCTCCAGCACAGGCCAATCAATTAGCACCTTAAGTAGAACACTAAAGGGATGAATTTACAGAGATTTCCAATAGTTTTTTTAGTGTTATTTTTCCTCTGGAATGATAAGCCAAAGAGGTACAGTCAATAGCTACAAAACCTACCTAATAGTAGTACAAACACACACTGGTGTTCAATTCTTAACAGTATTGTTAGTATCTTAAATAAATATGCTGTAGGCCCTCCAAGTTTCACAGGAACGAAATTACAACCACGCTTCATATTAATGAAATTACAACCGGTTTTCATCGCTTTTTCGATATGCATGTATTAGCAAAAACACCAAATTCTGTGTTGAGTTGTCTGATAAAGTCCCATATACTGTACCAAAACTTCTAAGTCATGGTGAGCATTGAGGGTTATAACTTTATATTCTAACATGACCTAGATTATTCATAGAGGTAGTTTTTTTAAAGCCGCTTTAAAAGCATGCCCAATGGTATATATTGATCTGATATCATCTTAAAGTCCCTTCCACTGCACCAAAATTCTGACATTTTAGTAAGGTTGACAGATATAATTTTATGCGCTAGCAGAGATAAACATCCTAGTTCAACCTAAGTGTATAAACCAAACTTTTTAACTTAAAGAACAGGTAAATGTAAATAGACACAACATCCATCATTCACCCTAATAGTGGAGATAATATCTTATTCTCTAAATTAGTAGTATTGCGTCCTGGAAGGTTGGATTCTCGAGAAAGCGATTAAAAGGGGAGATAAGTATATTGTAATCATCTATCATGGAATTTGCTTCAATTTTAAATGCAATGGACAAGAGTGATATTAACTGGTCTTTCAGTGTTAAAAGTTTAAGGAGCATGGAAGAATAGAAGAATCAAGGCAACCTCCCAAGCCATTGAACTTACACTCATCCATCTACACCTCAAGGCTACATCTCTCGCAGACTTCCCCTGCAGTTGTGAGGCAATTTTCGCATATCGAAACAGAGGTGTTTCAGAAGAATACCTGAAATAGATCCATAATGACAGAGAATAGTATATGTTAATAACAACAAAAGTTATGATAGAAAAGTGATAAATGGGGAATAGGTATTAGTTGAATTATGAATCTAATGGAAGCGTTTATCTTCGCAAACAGAATATCAAATAAAAGAAAGAAATATATCAGGAACAACTAAGCAAGGAAGCATAACTATTCAAACTCTAGTGCAATCAATGTTTAACACTTATTGACTCCCAAAACTGTATTCAAGGAAACATGTCATCATAGCTATTGTTCGCTGTCAACCTCGCCTTCTGTCAACTATCAATCTGCTCAAAAGATTTGAAACAAAGTATTTTGCAAGGTAAGTTCATCTATCATTCTTCCCTTCACTTTCCTCTTCACGGTTTATGGGAAAATTTTATATATGACAACAAGACTTGAAATTTATGTATTTCAGAATGTAGACCAATGAAAAGACTACAGCAAAACAAGATTAATGTAGTACTTGTTGATAAATTTTAGTTGTGGTATAATGTATGATACTTGTTTATGCAGATGTATACAAACCAAGAATATCACTTAAAACCACTAAAAGTTATTGTCATTTAAATTTCAGCACCAATAAGTACTAAGACCTTAATGAATGCATTAACAACTATCCATGCAAAGTTCGTTGAAACTTGAATGAAGTATACATATGTGTGGGCGTCTACACATGCACAGAGCAATTACTAAATGAGACCAAGGATCCCTATTAGATTCAACCAACAATTAGGGGACTAGGAAAACAAAAAACGTAGTTGCATAACAAGAAATTAGGCACAAAAACAAATTACCATGATGCAAGCCCAATAGCCAAGTTAAGGCCCATCATTCTACTATATAAGTTATTGTGAAGCATAAGTTATTGTGAAGCATAGGGTCATTATGATGAAAAATTGGCCTCTCACTACCCTCCTCTCAGTATATCCTGTTGGCCTCTTTGTTTTGATGATGTTTAACAAACAATTTACCACTAATATTGTTTGTCTAGTGTTTGTGTTTATCTACTTATTATAGACAAACAACACGTTGGAGGATGGATGGAATTGGGTCATAACGATCATATCCAATGGAGGTTGGCGGAATAGTGGTTGAAGCATTGCAATTCAAGTTGAAGATCCAAGTTCAAGCTTCATCCGCAAAGTGTACCAAGTCAAGCTTATTGAAGACCAAGATTGCTTGGGTAACATTTAGTTTAGGTGTTATATTATGTGTGTTGGTACTTTAAGCTCAATCATATATACACACACATTATATTGGTTTATATATATATAAAGTTATACA